TATATATATATATATATATATTTATATATATATAATTAGAAAAATTTTATGAGTTTTGTCACACATTTAAGCTAATACAAACATTGAATGTACAAGGTGACTTTCAAACAAGGAATAATTTCACATAAATTCATTGGTGTTGAGAAAATTAGGGCGAAGAAAAACAGTAATCGACACAAATCCAGAAGAACACAGAGATTTAACGAGGTTCGGCAAAGATGCCTACGTCCTCGGGAGCAGAGCGGCGAGTTCCTTTCAATATTCAGAAAAGAGGTTTACAGAAATCAGAGATCCAACTCTCTCAAAGATCTAGAATTACAAACAGGTCTATTTATAATCCTAGAGTAAGCCCTACAGTACAATATGTAATTCCCAAATTACCCCTCTACCGTATAGCCCCAACTCATATAACGTAACTTCTCAATTTGGATAGATTCTTTCGCTCTGCTCCGCTCCGCTCCGTTTCACTTCGTTCCAGCGTCTGTCCCTATATGTTATATGAGTCATACCATAACAAATCTCCACCTTGGCGAATATCCAGCCCCTTAGGAGAAAAGATACCCGGGAGTTACGCCTGCACCAATGTGGGTTAGGCCATCATGCTTCTGCTGCGCCCTCGCTGATCTCAACCCACTAAATTCCAAGAGACACATCTCTTCAATTCCAAGAGACATCTCTTCATTCCAAGAGACTCCAAATCCTGGTATTATGAGTCATACCTAACAATTCTCCACCTTGGCGAATATCCAACCCTTTAGGAGAAAATCTCCACCTTGCGAATATTCAATCCCTTAGGAGAAAAAATCTCCACCTTGCGAATATCCTGTCCTTTAGGAGAAAATGTCCACTTTGTGGATATCCAGTCCCTTAGGAAAAATATCTCCACCTTGCGAATATTTTGTCCCTTAGGAGAAAATCTCCACCTTGCGAATATCCAGCCCCTTAGGAGAAATATATTATGGAGTTTCTTATGCATAAATGTGGGTTGAAGCACTTTTCCTGTTTGCGCCAGCACCTCGGCTAAACTGCCGTCCCGTGAGCGAAACCCTTCGCGAAATACCCACTGTTCGCGAATAATCTCGTCTACTTGCTCTCCAGCACCCTACCAAACTCCACCTGTCGCAAACTCTACCTGCGACGAACCGACGAACTTGCAAACTTAACTTCGCTGGTCGAACATCACCAAACTCTTCTGTTCGCAAATGCTCCTGTTCGCAGTAACTGCACACGAACTCATGTTCGCTAACTCCACCTTGCCTGATGCCGCGAAGGTTCATGAATTGTCGCGACGCCACCTCTACCGCGAACTCCCAGAAGCATAACTCGCTGAATTGCCGCAGTCCTTTATCCGAACTGCTTCGCACCTGTTCGTTCCCGCGAGACCGTCTGTCTTGCGAACAATCCGTAAAGTTTTATATTCTCCTACGCCATAGCCAAGATCCCTTCCTCCAGCCAAGAAAATTCAGAAAAATTTTCCAAATTTTCTTCTCTACAAGATTCTTTGTTGAGCCAGAAATTTTATTCACTTTGATCCTGCCAGAAATCACCGCAGATCCAACAATGGAAATCCACCAAAAGAAAATATTTTGTGGCTCCAGTAAATCAAAGAAAATCACATTCCAATTACTCTGCTCCGCTTTCCTTCCAAAATTTCCTCTGAACTTTCCTTTTCGGCGTCCTGAAATAGCTCCGTTGTTGTGCAAAATTTGAAGAATCTTCCAGATTTACTTCTTCGCAGCCTCCAGCAAAGAAAATCTTAATTAAGTTTCCTTAATTTAATATTCTCCTTAATCAAACATTTCCTTTCCTGCGTTCAAGCAAAATCAATCTAGGAGAAAATTCTAGAGAAATATCTCGTCTCCAAAAAAAATGAAGGCTCTCTTCACCAAAGGCAAAATGAAAATTCCTTATTTTAAGCCTCCAGGGAAGGAATCATTTCCTTAATTAAGGCTTCCAAGAAAAGAATTATTTTCCTAATTAAGTGTTCAGCAAAAGAATATTTCCACAAAGATTCCCTTTCCTATTTTCCTTTCCAATTTCACAGCAGCAGCAAAAGTAAAAACCGGAAATTTCTCCAGTTTTGATTTTCCTTCTCAGCAAAGGATTTGGAAATTCCCAGAAAATTCGCAATCAAATATTCCTTCTTCCTCCTGCTATATTTAGGAAATATCCCAACCTTCCTTTCGCGTAAGCCTTCCTCTTCCGGTCGCGCAAGAAGATCGCTCGGAGCAGCCGCCACCTTTCGGTCGCACTGGTCACCCGCCGAGCTCGCCTTGCCGCAGCGCGAATCCTTCTTCCCTACTTGCCGCGGAACCTGTTCGCTTGCGATCCACCTGTTCGTGCGATCCGTCCGTTTGCGAGAAAGCTGTCTTCCGCCTCCCGATCCGATCCTTCCGTTCGATCGCCAACGAGAAAGCTGTCTTCCGCCTCCTATATTCTGCAGTCACGAACCGAGTAACAGACCACCGAGTCGCGGAACTGCTCCTCTCCGGCAAATCTACGGCGAATCGGAATTGCTGCACCTTTCTTCTTGTTCTGCCGTAATTTTTCTTTTCTGTCCTCGAACCAGTCTCTGATACCACTTGTTGAGAAAATTAGGGCGAAGAAAAACAGTAATCGACACAAATCCAGAAGAGCACAGAGATTTAACGAGGTTCGGCAAAGATGCCTACGTTCTCGGGAGCAGAGCGGCGAGTTCCTTTCAATATTCAGAAAAGAAGTTTACAGAAATCAGAGATCCAACTCTCTCAAAGGTCTAGGATTACAAACAGGTCTATTTATAATCCTAGAGTAAGCCCTACAGTACAATATGTAATTCCCAAATTACCTCTGTACCGTATAGCCCCAACCCATATAACGTAACTTCTCGATTTGGATAGATTTTTTCGCTCCGCTCCGCTCCGCTTCGTTCCAGCGTCTGTCCCTATATGATATATGAGTCATACCATAACAAACTTTTTTTAAATTATGTTGTCTTCTTTTTTGAGATTTAATATTTAAAAAACTCATCATAATTTTTAATTGAAATGTTAAATTTTTTTAATAATAATTTTATTTGAGATACTATATCTAGCAAACACATGATAAAACAATTTCAAAATTTAGCATTCATATGTTTCATCCACTTTTTATTTTTCTCTCCATAAGCTTTTCATTAATAAAATAATATAAGATTAAATAGATAGGAAATAGAAGAGAATATTAGTTTAAAAGTAAACCATCCACTTTTTAAATATCTTAGAATGATTATTCTTCTCTCATTTCTATAATTCCTGAATAAAAAAATTAAATAATATTTCAAATTACAGTATTTTTATGCACATTCATTTATCATTTTCTCTCTCCTTCATTTTTCTATTTTTTTTTTTATGTAATATATAGCGTATTAGGAGGTTAAATATCTTAGAAAGCCGAATGCATGCCCTGCCCCGCGTGCGACTCTTTGCACAAAAAAAATAACGCGTGTCGCGGCGTTTATGAAACGCTCGTCAAACGCACCAAAATAAGCTGCCCCAAACGGGCTCCAAATCACTTGGATGATGCCACTTGATTCATAATGGAAAGGGTTAGCTTTTAAAGATAAATAAGGATGCCGAAAAGGTAAAGAATATTAAGCTCTAAAAATTTAATAATTAAATTAGGTTAATTAATCAAATTACATTTAAATCCATGTAATTTATATGTGGATCCCCTTTCTATCTCTTTGTAAGGTAACTCACATGAATAATGGTCTCCTATTCTTTTTGTTTGTTTCTATGAATGTCAAGTGTGCAAATTTCTTGCTATATTGTTACAACATAAATATTGTGAATCACAATCACAATGCTGATGAGATAAGTCTGAGAAAAAGAGAGGTATTTCAACATCACTCCTCAATAAATATGCCTTAAGAAATGCTTTCTATAATGAGTGAGACTCCATAATTATCTTTATTATTTTATGGAGAGTTGTGAATTGCTCTAATGTTGATTGTTTTGAAAATTCAAAAAAAAAGGATGAATTATAGCTTGATGGAGAAGGTTTGCTTTTATAAATCATTACAAGTGGCATCATGTCTTTGTATTAAGATATCAATAGATTAGTTTGGTTTGAAACAATCAATGGTACCACAATTATGGCTATGAAATTTTGTGAACGTCTGTTTGGGGCAGAAGTCATGATTTTCAAATATTAAATTTCTCTGAAACAGACATCTAGCCTTTATTATTATTATTATTATTATTATTATTATAAGGTGATGGATCATCTGTCACACCTTTGATTTAGAAGTTGCAGTGTATCCTGATGACTCATAATGCAATAAAATCATGTACGTCAACTTAAATATTTGAAGTGAAGATCATACTAAATCAATGTTGTATCAATAAGAGAGATTCACGTACAAGTAATTATAAATATAGAGA